ACTTTAAAAACAGTACAGATTAAACTAACGTTTAAGACACGACTTTAAAAACAGTACAGATTAAACTAACGTTTAAGACATGACTTTAAAAACAGTACAGATTAAACTAACGTTTAAGACATGACTTTAAAAACAGTACAGATTAAACTAACGTTTAAGACATGACTTTAAAAACAGTACAGATTAAACTAACGTTTAAGACATGACTTTAAAAACAGTACAGATTAAACTAACGTTTAAGACATGACTTTGGAAACAGTACAGATTAAACTAACGTTTAAGACATGACTTTGGAAACAGTACAGATTAAACTAACGTTTAAGACATGACTTTGGAAACAGTACAGATTAAACTAACGTTTAAGACATGACTTTGGAAACAGTACAGATTAAACTAACGTTTAAGACATGACTTTGGAAACAGTACAGATTAAACTAAAGTTTAAGACATAACTTTGGAAACAGTACAGATTAAACTAAAGTTTAAGACATGACTTTGGAAACAGTACAGATTAAACTAAAGTTTAAGACATAACTTTGGAAACAGTACAGATTAAACTAAAGTTTAAGACATGACTTTGGAAACAGTACAGATTAAACTAAAGTTTAAGACATGACTTTGGAAACAGTACAGATTAAACTAAAGTTTAAGACATGACTTTGGAAACAGTACAGATTAAACTAAAGTTTAAGACATGACTTTAAAAATAGTACAAATTGAGCTAAAGTTTAAGACATGACTTTGAAAATAGTACAAATTGAGCTAACGTTTAAGACACGACTTTAAAAACAGTACAAGTTAAGCTAACGTTTAAAACACGACTTTAAAAACAGTACAGATTAAACTAACGTTTAAGACACGACTTTAAAAACAGTACAAATTAAACTAAAGTTTAAGGCACGACTTTAAAAACAGTACAGATTAAACTAACGTTTAAGACACGACTTTAAAAACAGTACAGATTAAACTAACGTTTAAGACACGACTTTGAAAACAGTACAAATTAAACTAACGTTTAAGACACGACTTTAAAAACAGTACAGATTAAACTAACGTTTAAGACATGACTTTGAAAACAGTACAGATTAATGTATACTTATTAATTAGTAGTATTGGGTAGTCACATTAGTTTGTGAATGTAACTGTTAGACTTCTGTACGTCATTAGATTGGGAAAGCAGTTGTCAGACTTCTCTCCGTCATTACTATAGAAGGTAAATTTTTGGTAGCATGGAAACAATAAGTTAATCATTGTGGGAGATGACTTATTGGATCACGCAGTTTACGTTTATCTATTGGGTAGTAAGTATTGCACAAGGTAGTAGCAACGGTTTACCATTATCTGTTGGGTAGTAAGTATTGCACAAGGTAGTAGCAACGGTTTACCATTATCTGTTGGGTCGTAAGTATCGCACAAGGTAGTAGCAACGGTTTACCATTATCTGTTGGGTAGTATGTATTGCACAAGGTAGTAGCAACGGTTTACCATTATCTGTTGGGTAGTATGTATTGCACAAGGTAGTAGCAACGGTTTGCCATTATCTGTTGGGTAGTATGTATTGCACAAGGTAGTAGCAACGGTTTGCGTTTATCTTTCAGTCTCATGTACATTATTAGTTTGTGAAAGTAACTGTCAGACTCCTGTACGCCATTACGTTGTGAAAGCAATTGCGAGACTCCTGTACGTCATTACGCTGTGAAATAGATGTAAGACTCCTGTACTCATTACATTATCAGAATTATATACGACTTACACTGTAAGAGTAGCTTTCAGTTGTACGTCATTAGTTTGTGAAAGTAACTGTCAGATTCCTGTACATTATTACACTGTGAAAGCAACTGTCAGACTCCTGGAGTTCATTGTGAAAGCAGTTGGCAGAAATCGATACACATTACGCTGTAAGAGTAGCTTATAGAATCCTTTACTTCATTATGCTGTGAATGGAAATGTTAGACTCTTGTACGTCATCATGCTGTGAAAGCAGTTATTTGATTTCTGTACGCTATAAATGTAATTGTACGTCATTACGCTGTGAATGTAACTGTCACACTCCTGTACGTCATTACGCTGTGAATGTAATTGTCACACTCCTGTAAGTCATTACGCTAGGTAACTATTAGGTCATCAAGAAATTAATGTTGCTTTTTTAGATGAAAAAAACCGAACAACTTATATATCAAAACAAAACATTCATTAAATGAAATAGTCTCCATTCTGATCGATGATGTTTTTCCCATCTTACAATCAAGTTGTTAATGCCATGATTAAAGAAATCACTTGGCTTTGAAGCAAAAAACATGTCGATGTCCTCTCTAACATCTTCCACATTTGCATACGTTTTCCCATTAAAAGGTGTTGCAGCGAATGAAAAATATGATAATCTGATGTTACCATATCTGGAGAATATGGTGGGTGGGGGAGAACTTCCCAACCAAAGTAGATAATCTTGTGTTGTGTCAAATGTGCCACATGTGGACATGCATTGTAGTGGAGGAGAAGAACACCTTTCCGATTGACGAGTGAAGGGCGTTTCTGATGAAGAGCTTGATTTAAACTTTCCAGTTGCTGACTATAGATCTCTGCATTGACACTTCGCTGTGGATTGAGCAGTTCGAAATGAATTACTCCTTTGAAGTCCCACCAAATGCAAAGTATCACTTTTTGCGGATGGAGTCCAGGTTTGGGGGTTAGAAGTGGTTTTTGTCTAGGAGTGAGCCATTTTTTTGGCGTTCAATGTTCGCATAGAGAATCCATTTTTCATCACCCGTGAAAATTCTGTCCAAGAATGGTTCACGCGCCACAAAAGAAGGGGCAACGTTTACACGTTGGAAACGATGGTCATCAGAGAGTTCGTGAGGCACCCAAACATCTTTAAAGAGTTTTCCCATATTCCTTAGATGTTTACATATTGTTTCATGAGAGACATGCAATTTCATG